CGTCGGACGGGCCATTTCTTGACTTTGTTTTTGTGATTTATCATACATAAACGTGTATGAGAGTGCTGTGGGGTATATTTTTAAGATCCGTAGTTACTGAAGTTACCGAAAACAAGTTGGTTTTGTCAAATTAGGTTCAATATTTGTTATAACTTGCATTCAAACACTGGTCACCGGCGGATCTGCAGGTTAGGTGGTGGGGGTAAACAGTGGAAGGGGGCAGGAAGGGGGGTCTCGAGCCCTGCCCCGCCCGCTCTCTAGGCCGTTGCCGACCCCTGCTTGGAGCCGCCACGCCCCGCCCCCGCCCCCGCCATGCCTCGCTCCCGAAGAGGAAGAGCACAAGAGGTGAGCCGGAATGGCCTCAGGGCGTGAAGGGGGCCGCCGGCACCGGGGCCATCTCCAGGGCGCATTGAGTTAGTCGGAGGTGCAGACAGGAGGAGGTGGGCGCGCGCCTGCCGCACCAGGACCTGCCAGGACTCGGCGAGCAGCGCGGCGCCCTTCTTCCTCTTCCGCTCTCTCCTCGCCGAACCCCTTAGTCCGTTTAAATTGAAGCGACGTGTCAACTCGTAGAAATGTGTGTCGTGGCCTTCTGGGTCACGGGGGTGGAGAAAGGAACACGAGGTTATAGGACTCCATAACCGCACACGTATGTAACCGAAATTTTATTGCATCAAAATATAGGGCCATACTTTAGAGTTTCGTGAGTTTGTGTTGATGGTGTGCAGGGTGTAACGGCGTGATTGTTTTCCCTGTGCGCAGGCTACGTGACGCTCTCGCAGTGGAGCCAGGCCCTGGAGGCGAGGACCAACCTAAACCTGCCGTGGCGCATGCTGTCCCACAAGCTCGTCACGGTGCACCCGAGCACGGGCAAGGTGGAGTGGCAGACCACCTTCCAGGACCAGCTGCCCGGCAGCGGAGGCGGCGGCAGTGGCGGCGGCAAGCGGTCGTCTTCGGTTAGTATAACGAGGCCTCCGCCTTCACAGAGGCGAAGACTTTCTACACCTCCCCCCCCCCCCCTTTTCCCCGAGCATCACTTCCCTTTTGCGGCGAAGTGTCGTACAGCAGCTCTTTGGAGTGGATTAGCCCGTGGTGTCCGTCGGTACGCAGAAGGGCACTGCGGCTGGGCTTGGGCGCTGCAGGCCCCGGGCCTGGGCGGCCCCTATGGAGCCTCGGCAACGCCCGTAAACCTGCCCATAAAAAGTATTACAGCCCGCCACGGGCCGCAGCCCGCGCCGCCCACGCGCTTGCCGGCGTGCACTCTGAGCGGGCTGATCCCCCCCGGCGAAAGAAGAGTCGTGCCGCATAGTAGAGTACTGGAAGAGAGTGTGGTGGCCTGCTGGTCTCTGGCAGGAGGAAGGCCAAGGTCGGGGGACAATGACCACGGTCAAGGTCGCTGCGCCGGTCAGACTGGTGTAATTGCTTGGACCCGGCCGGCCGCCTGCGCGTCGCTGCTGCGATGGGCGTGGGGCCCGGGGCGAGGGGGGCGCGGGGTGGCGGGGTGA